GATAACATAAGACCTAAACTAATTAGCAGAAATTAAGTTCGGAGGTACTGCATGGGAATGATGGTTACCATGGTCGCCCGTTGTGAAAAAAACTCTTGGTACGCATTGCATCAAATGCTTCGAGCGCATCCTCGTTTTTCCAACCATTATTCACAAGCGCTTGCAAGTGGAATCGGGCATGCTTGTGTGTGTGTGTGTGTGTGTGCAACCATCAAATTGGGATTGGATATATAGACCGCGAAACGGCAAAATAGATTCCGCTTTGGATAAAATGTTCGAAGTATTTTCAGCGCATTGTCCAATCGAATGATGACTAAAGACAGAAAATTATGGCATACAACTGATTCGCAAATAGTCGCCTCACTGACTGATCTCAAACACTTTGACGGGATGTACCTCAAAACTGTGGGTACGGCCATCAATCAAGGTCGTATGTTCGAACCAGATCAGTTCAGCTCAGTTTGTACAACCATTAACTACGTACTATCGTACGCTGGCTTTGGTTGCTGTCTTTTGGCTGCCCATTGGGACGACGCAATAGGAGAAAGACACAAAGGTTGAAAGTAGAGTCGAACAGAGAATTGAGAAGTTCAGTGGTCTAGACTTGCGAAGAAATTGAGATGCACGAACGCCACTGTTCACGAAACTCAGCCATATCACTGAGTGTCTCTAACCGTCGGTTACCATCATCCCGAGGTCCCCAGTCAGGGAGATTAACAGGACCCATGTGACCTAGTCTCCTGGTTGGGGTTTTCATACCCTCGGGCCAGGTCTTAGCATAGTCTATCAATATCCTGTTTTCTTAATGGCCAAGTTTTGTGCCGTATAGCAGGACTGGCCGAACTGCCGCGGCATACACTCGACTCTTCACAGACAATCGGATGTCGCGACGGTGCCACAGACGTCTCAAGTTAGCAAACGCCAACCGAGTCCTCTGTATGCGAGCTGACACTTCATCTGTGATGCGTCCACCGGGTGAGATGTAGCTGCCCAAATAACAAAACTTATCCACCTGCTCTATTACTTCCCCGGTTAAAGTGACGCTGTGTGCTGGAGCAACCCAGTCTTGTAGTAACACTTTGAAGGTACAAAACGCACACCAAACATGGCTACACTAACACTCAAACTATCCCGAAAAACTTGCAACTTACCTGGGTCTTCACTTGATAGTACAATGTCGTCTGCATACTCTAGATCAGACAGTCTGCTACTCGGGAGTAAATCGATGCCACTATCCTCGTACGAAGATAGGGTTGTTCCAAGAAGTAAATCTATGACAAAGTTAAGTAGAAACGGCGAGAGAGAGCAACCCTGTCGAACACCACTTTCTGTAGTGAAATCGGGCGAAAGAGTGCCGTAAGCCCGCTCTCGACTTTGGCTATTCGTATAAAGCGATCGTAATATTGAAATAAACTTCTCGGGCACACCTTTCAGAAAAGGGCAGCGCCAGAGTTTGGAGCGGTCGACTGAGTCAAAAGCCGCTTTCAGATCTAGGAAGACAGAGATTTTGGGTCTACATTAAGAATGTCGATGCTCAGAATCTGGCGGAGTGAAGATGTGGTCGATACAACCTCGACCAAGTCTAAAGCCAGCCTGGTTCTCACGAGTGCACTATTCACGTGCGGCAGTCAATCGTCGGAGTATGATGCCGGCGAGAAGTTTAGAGATGATGTTGATGAAACTAATTCCTTTGTGGTTTTCACAAGAGGACCTGTCACCCTTCTTGCAAATCGGTATGGTCACCGAATCACACCATTCAGCTGGAACCTATTCCTTATCCCACACTGAACCCAGGAGTTTCGTCAACTCCAAGACTAACGCTGAGGCTCCATCCTTAAACGTCAATGGGAACAGGCTATCTGGGCCAGAGGCCTTATTCCTTTTTAGGTACCTTATTTCCCGAGAAACCTCCATTTCAGTTGAAAGACTAGCGTCAACTGGCAGTATTTGTCCTGTGGAGGCGGAGAGTGAAAGTGAACTGAGCCTTGAAGTGCTAATCCAAACGGTCAAGATAGCGTTGCTGATCGTGAATCAGTGTGCCATTGCATTCCTTAAGTACCTCACTTACGCCTATTCTCCTAGAGCCCGTATTCCCAATTTGATGGAACAGGTTACGACTGTTACCAATAGCCGCAGCTTTCTCCATCTCTTCACACTTTTCTACCCACCACTTCTCGCGGTCATTCCTCAGATTCTTGATGAGCTGGCGTTTTAGGGATTCGCGTGTTGTGTCGTATCTGGAGGCATCTGGAGTCAGGGTTCTACGAGCGCCCAGCCGGGCTGCCGAGGTCGACGAAATCCATCGTTTCTGTTTTGGGCTTGAGGCGGAGTCCGACGTTATTTTTATCGGGGAACAGGTTATCTGGGCCAGAAGCCTTGTGTTATTTGATAACTGATACTGGTGATGCGCCGACCATGAAAATAACATCCGGAACCATTGCAGGACGATGATCGATGGTCGCTCGTTCACGGGTTGTTACACCATCGCAAATACCAAGCGAATCCATCAAGCCATGTGATGCCATTGCACGATCAACGAGTCCAGTGTGCTATACGGCATTCATATAGACCACGTTCGATGTTCTCATATTACCATATAGCTGACCTATTCATGTTTGTAACACACTTGCAGAGAACACTGCGAACATTAATGTCTTAGTTAATGGACCTGTGCAACTTTAAAGCACTTGTTATTTGGATGGTGAACCTGATGGTTCGCCTTCGGAGTCCGGAGAAAGGGACAAAAAATGTACGCGCACTGCTGACGAGTCCCAGGCGGGGCGAAACAGCTGTCGAGTGTTCTTTTTCGGTTATCACAAACACTTCCATCGCATGCCCTTGTTATGCGACCCAATGCAGCTAGAGACCTTCTGAGAGGGAGATTCTTCTTCGCACGTGACATTTTTCTTGGCTGGACAATGCACGAGACAACTCCGTCTGGCTTTGAAAATCTATCTAACCTATACACACACACAAATTCGTGAGTCGTTGAGGCGAAATACTGCTCCTGGTTGCACAGTGCACGCAAAAGCCAGTCCGGTAGATCCTCGAAGACGAAAGAACTCGGGAAACCGTGGACAGAATACTCTACTCTTAGAGGCACGGTCATGAAGCACCAAAGTGAATATGATGGAACAAGCCATAAGAGAATATTTTAATCTGACAGAAAAAGAAGAGACCACCACCTTGTGTAGAGTGTTCCCGTCTTCGAATCGGAAATACAAAACATGTGCATAAAAATGAGTTCCTGAGCGGAAAATATGTTTTCAGCTGTTAATCTCAACTTGGGAATCCACTATCTCCGACACGTGCACCACAGACTGTGGTAGCTGATGTCCCTGGGTGTGTCACGCACGTCACTGGATAGGCTTCCTTGAAGTTCGCGGAGGCCCATATTGGGTGGAAGAAACCAAGGGCGGTTAAGCTAAGATCCAGCATGAGGGTATGAAAACCTCAACCAGGAGCCTAGGTCACATAGGTCCCTGGATGAGGAACTCGGGACGATCGCAACCGATGGTTAGAGACACTCAGTGATATGGCTGGGTGTCGTAAACAATGGCTTTCGTGCATCTTGTCAATTTCCTTGAATGATTAGTCCACTAAACTTCTCAATTTTCTCTTCGATCCTACTTTCACCCTTCCCTGTCTTTCTCCTACTGCTTCATCCAAATGGGCAGCCAAAAGACAGCAACCAAAGCCGGCGCAAGATAGGGCATGGTTATTAGTTGTACAAACTGAACTGAATTAAACTTCCGTGCAGTCACCGAATTGAACAACACAGACACTCCTTTTGTAGACCTACCATTCGTATCTTCCTCGATCTGGAAGCGGCTTTCGATACAGTCAATCGCTCTATACCCTGGGGTTGCCACTTTCTGAAGGATTTGTCCGAAAAATTAATTTCAATATTACGATCCTTTTGTAATAATGTCTCAAGTCCAGTGCGAGCTTATGGAACCTTTTCGGTTAAGTTCACAACGGAAAGTAGTAATCGTCAGGGTTGGCCGCTTTCACCTTTTAATTGTACTTTCTCATAGATTTAATCCTAAACAGCCCTAAACTCGTGTGGAGATAGTGGCATCCATTTGCTCCCGGTTGGTAGACTATCTGATCTGGAGTACGCAGATGACATTGTGCTGCTAGGTAAAGATCAAGGTAAGTTGCAAGCCTTTCTGGATAGTTTGGGTGCTAGTGTGGCCATGCTCGGTTTGCGTTTTGCACCTTCAAAGTGTACAACGTTGCTACAAGAATGGGTTGGTCCAGCACCCAGTCTCACCCTGACTGGGGAAGTAGTAGAGGAAGTAGACAGCCATGAAGTGTTGCTACGCGAACAGAAGGCTCGGTTGCTAACTTGTGAGACATTTGTGGCGCCGTCGCGACATCTGGCTGTCCGTGAGTATATGTTGCAGCAGTTAGGCTGGTGCTGTTCTACGGTGCAGAAACTTGACCATTACGGGAACAGGATAAAAATAGAATGTCAGTGTCTCAACACCACTGTCTACGCCGCATTGCACGAGTCAGTTGGGACAAACGGACAGGCAATGTTGAGGTGAGAGGCAGAGGTTTAGGTACTAGCACTTATCCAGTGGAGCAAGTTACGGGTAGATGATCAAATAATATGACTTTTGGATGTATTTTCAGATCCAATCACATACTGAAAGAATTGTTCGTAATTCACAAGAACAACACCTTGACGATTCCAAAACTACTTTTTGTTTTATGAGTGAATGTGTGTCGCGTATAGAGCAAAGGAAGCATGACCTGAAAAGCTAGAAGGCAGTGAACAGCTGTTTTCCGACCTAATCGGTTCTCATGATCCACCGATCCAATGGAAGAGCGAAACGGAGATGTTAGAGGTCAAGCATACTACTCATTTGACCACCAGTTAACTGATCAGATCGTTTTCGTTTTGTTTCTTGGTCGGTCCCATCTGAAATCGAGAGGCCTGGCACAGGCTATTCTCCAATTAGAAAAAGAAGCAGTCAACCAAGGATATTCTCCGAGTAACAACAAAGGGGCAGCCAGGACACCAGGACAACTCAACAGGAATTTCAAGGTGCTTCTAGTGTCAGTAAGTCAGTCACCTGCAAAAGCCTCAGTNCACGAAATGCTGTCATTAGACCAAGCGTCTCAAACAGTCTCTGCTGAGGAAGCTCAGCTCACTGCCTTCCCGTGGCGGACGTGCTCTCCCACCAAAGTAAGAAGACGAAGAGCCGATATCCGAGGCTACATCGAGTTGGTGGACCACTGATAGTTCATCTAAAGGAACAGGCCGAAAACCCAGGTTTCAAACCGAACAAGAAGAGGCGCATGAACCACACTCGCCCACACCTTCCTGGTTGTGGCAGTGATCACCGGCTCGATTAGGCATCGAGGTGTATTGGGCACCTTGGACGTTTGACCCCGTCCAAAGGGTGTATGATCCGATGAACTGGACACCGGCTCCCAATAGCTTTCGGTTTTCATACACCGTCCCGCTGTCTTGCGGGTCATGCTTTGGCTAACCTTGACCTGGACAACCTGGCAGTATTCAACCCAAATGCAAATCATGGAATATCTTTTTTTCATAAAGATTATTGTACCATGAATTTTGTTGGCACAGTCTGGATCCAGATGTGTGTGAAAATAAACAATGTAATAGACAATAAGTCGGTTAAACGTAAAGCACGCAAACTTCATCAAGCATGCATGGTTCGTTTCTCTGGATTAGAAAATTTCACTTCTCGTACAACAGGACCTCAAATTTCGGAGCTCGGCAGTAAACAAACATCGAGAGCGGAACGGCAAAGTATACCGAGAAGGGGCCAACGGTCAACGAAAGCAGCTTATTGCCGCATGATTTATCTCTTCAGGTGACCATGTCAGATGGATGCATGTATTAGAAATGAATGAATCGCCCACAAACATGATGAGGACGAGGTAAATATGACCCTCAGTAATATTCCAACTCAAAACCAACACGTTCCGACAACCCAGACAGAATTGATCAGGTGGGATCAAGAGAGACAGCGAGAGAGAGAGAGAGAGAGAGAGAGCAAGATCGTGAGGGACACACTTACTTGTACACAGGTAGCATGATCGGAAGGGGATAGGCCAAATGCGGGGCAATATCGATCAGATTGGCACGTTCACTAAGTGCCTCATTCACCATGCGAAACTGTTCCAAATCGAGGTTGAACACAGCCTTTTGCAGGTAGCGCACACCACCGTGTATTAGTTTGGTCGAACGAGATGAGGTACCGGAGGCGAAATCAAGGCGCTCCACTAGACACGTGGACAAACCTGAACCGAAACAACGAAGAGATTGGGCATGAGAAGCAGGATAAACAATTTGAATGAGCCTATTCGGTTTTAATGGCACGCATGAGCCGAAGCTTTGGTTAGGGAAATAACATAGAGAGAGAGAGAGAGAGAGTAGATTTGGTTTGTCACAGACCCTTAGCTAGTTGACCGCGATCTGAGCAACAATCACCGCCCGTAACAAATGACTCGGACGTGATGACGTTGTTACTGGTAACCAGAGTAGAAAGCTATCGAACCGTAATGGACAAGTGTGAATAGCGGTGGAAATGAATACGGTAAACATTTTCAATGCATAACGAGAGAAACACTAACGCAGACGACGGGGAGGGAGACATGACAGAGCTCAGTTAATGTTTCCACTGACGAATTTGTCTCCTGTCTTAGCACTGGTTGAGACTATCTGGTGAAATCGAACAGCTTTATTCTCCCTCTGTGCTAGTCTCCGTTAAGTAAGATCAACGTGAACGTGACCTCACGCGCAAACGCGGCTGATAGAAGTTAATTGATGCAACGCGAAACTGGACTAAAACAATTCACAATACAATAATCCAGGAAATCACGGCACGCAAAACAATCGAGTGTGTGTGTGCGTTCGATCAAGCGACAACTCAATTTTCCAGAACTGAGTCGACTATCCATATGGTCCAGATAAATTTGTCCGGTATAAATGAACAATCGAATGTATGGCCAAGGTTCAACAAACGTTACATTGGTGAACACAGTGATGAATTGTATTGTTTCTGGACTTTCGTTCCACTGTGCACGTTGGCATATCTTATTTGCTTGCTCTCGATAAAATTTGACTTCTTATATAGTACTTCGGAAGTTATAGGGTGTATATGCTATCTTGCTGGTTGGACAGAGAGTATCAAATGAAAGCACGTTGTTTGTGCTGCAATCGTCTGACAATGGAGCTTTTAAAGTGCATAAAAATAAAATAAATCCAAACAACCTTCTTTCTCACAATTGAACTAATTTGTATTGATCGAAAAAGTGCATCATTGGATGACCCTTTGATCTGCGTTAGTGCTCTGATCATCAGTGCGTACTTTTTCCGCCATGACGGAGCCTGTACCGCGAATCTTCACTTCGGCAGAACCGAAACAGTCAATAATCACTGATGGATGAGCCCATTCGAGTTCACACACACACACAAACACCACGGACTGTGTATGACTTGTGTTTGTTATTAGATGGTTGTTTGACCCCTAGGAAAATCACATCATCATTGTACAGTGAAATACACCGAAGCGAACTTCACTGATCGCTGCCAAACTCGCAATGCATACAAGATTAGTGGTAAAATTTAAGGTGGACAGGGACTGGACCTACTATGAGGGACGGAGAAGAAGGTGAATCACTATCACTAACACACAGAGTGCACAGTCAAACTCTGCATACATACCGTTCCAAGCACTCTGGTATGATAAGAAATGACGACAAGATCGCCACTGCTATCAGTTCGCTGCTATATCCTTCAATTTCTCTAATAAACCAGTTGTGGAGTCTTTTAGACCCCAACCTGGAAGACGAGGGACACCTACTCCGCCTAATGGCTATGTGTATTCCTCCATGCCTTGTTTCCACATCGTCCGTTGACCTCCGAATGGTTTCCTCCAGCCCGGGGCGGCTACAGCGAATAAAGCGCGGTGCGGCAGACGATGGCTGGACATACGCAATAGTTGGAGTTTCGGTCAGCACCACGAAGTTATATTTTCAGAGTTGCATAAGAGACGCAGAACAGTACAAACCACTGACGAGCTTCAATCAGAATGAAACAACTGTCCACCACTTTTTAGCCATTAAAAGCAAATATATAACAACTGTGAAAAGAGAACAAACGTGAAAAGGAATGAAATTTACAACTGCGAACAAAAGAAACCACGCAGTGCCTGAAACCGGTGGAATTGAAGCCGTAACATTCCAAATATTTGTTACAATCAGGAATGATGCGGTTAGTAGCATCTAACCCAGCTACAAAACGTAGAATCATAGTATTGATTCTCCCATGGACTGGCTCTGAAAGAGCTGTCCAATGGTCACCCGGTATTCCAAACAAGGTTATTGTGACGAAGATACACTTCCTGGGTACAAGCATATGAATGAACTAACAAAAGATTACCGGATACGCATGCCTGACGAGCGGCAAGAACCGCGAAACCGGTCGTATGCTTCCAAGGAAATTTTGTCCAGTCATTAACATAATACTTCTATATACTTACATATCAAACATATATATATATATATCTTGGGGCTTTATTCACATCAGTTCCGTCGACTTAGGGAGGACCGAATATTGACATACCACATACTGTATAAGCCCAATCACCCTTGCCGTTGTGTTCACCTTATCTCAAAATAATCATCTCAGGGGACATCTATTGAAGTTGAGGACCCAGAACAGTCACCAAGATAGGCGATATCACTCGTTTCCACTCAGTGTGCGCGGTGTACGGAACTCGCTCCTATTTTATATTGTGTGTGTGCTCCTACAGTTGAATGATTCCAATTGCAAGTTGACAAAGCAGTGGAACACTAAACATCTCAACATCTGTGTGAGTGTCCATTCCGATGGGGCATGATAAGCCCATAATAAAACTTTCAGCTTTGGTATACGTCAGACGATTGAAATGAAAATGGGGAAACACGGAACGTTAACGCACCGCGAGAAGCCGCATCCACAGCGATCCCTGCCCCGGTTGCACCACCACCAATCACCAAAACATCAAAAATGTGGCCGGAAGACATGCGTTCCAAGTTCTCGGCCCGTGTTGGTAACGGTTTCTGAAATCGCTCCACTTCGGCTGCGTTTGGCTTCGGTCTTGATAGTAATGCCTTACAAATGAAATTAAGAAGACGTACATTCTAATTATCGAGAACACAGTGATTTTTATGCATAGAATGGGTTGTATATTGTATAAAAACAATGTGCTCGTAATGTTCCCGGTTTTAGCTGTCATTTACCGGTGATACCACTAAAACTGAAAGATCAGGTGCCACTTGGCTGATTAAATTAAAACGACACCGCACTGTAGCCGCGATAGCAAATGAAGTAAAACAAACAGCCTATCAAAACCAGAAAATGTTGTGATACAGTAACGTCTTACGCAACTCTCTGTGTAATGGTGAGCCTATAACGATCAATTAACTGACGCCCGATTGATCGATGAGCAAAAGTCAAACACGGGGCGGTCTCACAAAGTCAGTTGCGTATAAAAATCTTACCTTATGGCCGATAATAGTAATTGCTTTTTAAGGGACATTCCAGTAAATCAATGCAGAGTGATGTAGCTCACTGATTCAGAAGATCTCTCTCTACAGAGCAAGTGTAACAAGTCTGAAACTATTACAAAGGCGATCCAAAAACGTTTTTACTGCCTTGTTGTCAATTAGACTATTCTCCATGAAAAACCGCTGTGCAGCGGGAACGCTCGGGTAACACAGAGACAGTGCTGTGGTGCAGTGGTTTAGTTGCTGTCATAGGCGTGCTTTGGACCCTATAGTTCGAAGTTTGAGCCCCGCCACCACCACCCTACTTTGGTGGTAGACAGCTTTGCTGCCGTCCGGTTCAATACCACGTCTAATCTATCGGGGCCTTATGTGGTTCACCACTCCAAGTCCCGGGGCTTAGGTTAGCGGTTTCCATCACTGAACAGCAGGTCCTCGTGAATATGGGGTTTACCCCGTTTGTTGTTTACCATACGATATTATCACAAAAAAAGTTACCGTATTTCCGTTATAGAAGCCCGATATATTCACCATACGGTCGTATAGGTGAATAAAAAACATAATCAACTGCCTACCGCTGAGAACCGCCATGATCTGGGAGTGTCTAAACCTATAAGGTTATCAGGGGATAGGCACAGTAAACAATTAATCCGATTGAATGTAAATACATAATTGAAGGACAACCCGCAAATTCTGCAGTAATTACAGATGTTTGTTAATATCAATTGAAAGTTACAATCAGAATTCAAACAAAAGACCTCAATCTAACCTTCGTTCGACGTGCTTCATTGATTTTTGGGACTGCCTCAAGTAGGAATGCCGCACCGACACCTGACAGACCGGCAATTATGCCCAGACGTTTGGCCAACTTCCTTAAAGCGGACATCTGGAAGATTATTCACAGCTGAAACTAGAAAAAAACAGCACAGATGCACAGATCAATCGGTACAACGTGACCAGTGTTGTGATCGTCAGTATCACGTAAAAATCATTTCATTTCCTGCATATACAGCCAAACTCACTTAAAGCATGACAAAAACAAACAGTCCAAACAGTGGTTCATATTAAGAAAGTTAACGCAGCTTTTTTCAATCTGCGACACCTGTAGTGCCGCCATGACATTCAACTGTCTGTTAAGGAAAAGGTGTACATTGCCGCGGTTCTTAGCGTTCTGCTTTACGGTTGCGAGATCTGGCTCATCCGCGTTGAGGATGCCAATCGACTTTCCGTATTCGACCACAGATGTCTCCGACGGATTGCTCGTGTCTGGTGGGAACATCCGGTGAGCAACGAGGTTCATTATTGTGTTGGGCGCGGATAGTCGTTCTCTAAAAGAAGTAATCGCTCGACACTACCTCCAATGGCTTAGTAACGTTTTGCGTGTACTTACTCATCGTTAGCCTTTCAATGTGGTTGGTGCAGCCCACCTTAGATGTGGGGGTTCAAGAAACGAGGATAGCCATTGATAGATAGATAGATAAATACAGGGATATACATCAGAATAGAAGTGGTACAAATGCTGTGCGGTCTGCCAGTCGAAATACCGTGTCCCGTAAAATACAATAAACTAACCCTATTTCACTATTTCGAATCCCAAACATCCATTCTCACTTATTATTGTTGTTGCACTTTCACCATGTTCGCAATACGGTGAGTTGTTTTCCCACCAAACGGCGAGGGCGAAAAGCCAACATCCGGCGCTATAACCGGATCAGCGAACCTGGTTAGGCGCAGTTTCAGGTAGGCACAGTTGTCCGCTGAAGCAAGTGGTCGACCTTCATTAGTTCAGTTCAGTTTAAACAGCCATTAGGCATGCACTTCCGTGCGTTGCTTTTGGTTGCTGCCCATTTGAATGAAGCAGCGAAGGGTGAAAGTAGGATCGAAGAGAAAAAGTTCAGTGGACTAATGATGCAAGGAAATTGAGAAGATGCACGAACGCCACTGTTTACGACACCCAGCTATATCNGGGAGTGTAACAGGACCTATGTGGCCTAGACTCCTGGTTAAGGTTTTCATACCCTCATGCCAGGTCTTAGCCTGACCACTCTTGGCTTTCTTCCACCCACTACCTGCCTCGACAAATATCGCTCGCCGTGGCAACCTCCATAGGTTACGTTGGTTGGGGCATGTATTACGCATGTCACCAAATAGGATACTACGGGGCAGGATTTTTGTCGAGGCAGGTCCGAATAAGACCTGTCACAAGATATGAAAATCTTAACCAGGAAACTCGGTCATATAGGTTGCGTTAGGCTCCCTGGATGCGGACCATGGGATCGTGGTTACCGGTGGTTAAAGTCAATGAGTGATGTGGCTGAGTGTCGTCAACAGTGACGCTCGTGCATCTTCTCAGTTTGTTTGCAACCTAAGTCCACTGAAATTCTCTATTTCCCATTCAACGCTACTCTCCAGTCTTTCTGCTATAGCTTCGCCCAAATGGGAAGCCAAAACATAATCAAAACCAGCACAGGAAAATGCATGGTTATCGGCTGACAGACTGAAATTGGTAGTTCACACAGGGGAGTTGGCTAAAATCCCTTATCCTAAACCAACCAACGAACCACACCTTTCTGGTTGTGGCAGTAGTCACTGCTTTATTAAGGATCGAGGTGCATTAGGCGTATGATCCGATGCACTGGATACCGATCCGAATGGACTGTGGTCTCATCTCTGTTCTGCTTTCTTGCAGGTCTGGCTTTCTAGTCAAAGGCTTCGGGTAGGGATGCCAAGGTTATATTCTACCTCGATCAGGGGAACCGGGAAGTGACATGCCCACAACACCATGGACATATTTTGCAGATCTTTTCTTCACATGTTATGACACACTTGCCACTTCTACGCAATTGGTTACTTGTTGATATATATATATATATATATATATATATATATATATGCCAGATTAGATAAAGACCGAGAAGAAAGAAGCAAAACCTACTAAGTTGAGAAATTGTTACCCTTATTATATAGTTTCTTTCACAGTTTCCCGGGGCCATATGTATATATTTCACACACCTCTGAAACCTGAATTTGTGCCAAACACATCATGGTGCAATAATCTTTATAAAAAAGAAAAACGTTCCATGATTCGCATATGGGTCGAATACTGCCACGTTGCCCGGGACAGAGCAGGTGAATTATCTTGAGGAATCCATAACCGGATCCTTCAGCCAGCCAAAGCCCGACCCGCAAGGAAGCGGGGTGGTGTGTGGAAACCGCAAGCTATTGGGAACCGGTGTCCAGTTATTCGAATCATATATCCTTTGGACGGGGTCAAACGTCCAAGGTGCCCAATACACCTCGATGTCTAATCGAGCCGGTGACCACTGCCACAACCAGGAAGGTGTGGGCGAGTGTAGTTCATACACATCCTCTTTTTTGGCTTGGAATCAGGGTTTTTGGTCAACTCCCCTAGGTCAACTGCCAATGGTCCGCCAACCCGGTTATAGCCCTGGATTTCGGCTTTTCGTCCTCTCACTCTGGTGGGCAAACACTTCCGTTACGAGAAGAAAGTAAGTAGGACTTCCTCAGCAGAGGCTATTTGAGACGCTTGGTCTAATGACAGCATTTCGTGAGATGCGAGGGCAGGGTGACCAACCACAACCCTAGACACCCAACCACAACCATACTGACGCTTCTGAAGGTTGGGTCTATATGACCGTCAAAAAAATCACGGTACAACACAGGACTAAGTACTGTTAAATAAAATGTTTAAAATTAAGAACTCTGAATAGTCTACGGCCTTCGCCGACTATAATATTCGCCTTTGGAATCGAAACTGGGTTTTAGTGTTAGTCAATCCTGCCTCTATCATCGACCACGGGTAGTTCCTATCCATGATATCTATGATGTACGCCGGCCCATCCCACAGAGGGATTTACAGCCATACAAGAGTAAAAAGTGAAAAATTAGGTACTGTTTATCACAAAAAAGACCATCCATGACTTTTTTCTCAAGTACAATATCAGATTGTCCAAATCAAAGAAGGTAATTTTTTTACCAATACACCGCCACAATCTTCGGTTAGCGTATCAGCGAAGCAGTGGTGCACTCCGGAATCTAGTTGACTTAAAAGCGGATATCAGATTGGTTTATGAGCGAAAAGAAACAGTAATTAGATACGAAAAAAGCTACAATCACCCACTTGAGCGCTATATTTATTTCAGATAATGCCGGTGGGTTGCATGCAGAAGTCGAACTGGCAAACAAGATCGGTCTCGGCGCTTAATTACCTAATCAAATACAGCACTCTTTTATAGGTCGCCAAACCGTATGAGTCCGTATAGCAGAGAACTGTTAGATCACGTGTGCGTGTGTCTAAGCTTATGCACATGTAATACTGCACACACACACACACACATGCGCACAAACGTGATCTACATTTTTTCACTTCACTGACTCCGGTTATTTTATGATCCATAAAACAATGCTGTATTTGTTCGATGAGTGCAGCGCCGACAATGAGTCTGTTTGCTAATTTAACTTTTTGATGGAACCCATGAGTATCCCTGTATAATAAATAAATGTAATACTGAAAATGGGTGATTTGGGGGGGGAGGGGGGTTGAAGTACCCTGTTTATTCTATGGTAGCCGCTTTTAATCTTTAAGTTCATTAATTCGTATTTAAAATATTATGAGTCCCGACATTCTGCTAACTAAACCAACTGGCTTAAGTTTTTATAACAGATATTGGTAAATCGATTGCTTGTAGGTGTAAAGCTCTCAGGCCAAAGTAGATGCATTTTTTGGGGCTTCATACCAGGCGCCTCGGGGTAACCAAGACATGATTCGCAAGGCAACTGGGTGGTGGGTGGAATTCACAATGCATCGGAGGGGAGCTGTGTCTCGTACTTCTGATCATTTGCCCTTTGAACGGAGTTAAACGTCCAAAGTCCGCAATACACCTCAATGCCCAATCGACCACTGCCAAAACAAGGATGTGGATTAGGCTGATTTGCCTTTATCCTTAGAATCAGAGTATTTTTCCAACTTCCCCAAAACGACCTAACGGTGATTCACGGATCCTTTTATACCCCGGGTGAGGTTAGAGGCACTCTCCATGTGAAGGTTCTAATTAGGATCTCCTCGTTCGAGATCATTTTCAGACGCTTGGTTATGTGCGAGCATTCCACGAAGAGTGACTGGTCACAATCCAGAAGGTTCACCCCCACCGGCAGTCGGACTTCGAAGAGTTGATGGACTAACGTATAAAATAAAACTGGAATTTATGTTTCAAATTCCAAAAGAAAGCTTTCAGCTCGGCTTTATTTATAACAAGTAACAGTCCTGTAAAAAGCTCTGAGTGCCACGCTATCCATGGATATGGTGGTTAAAGTGATACTAACGAAATATATATAGATCGTATTCTCACTGACACAGTGAAAGAACTAATTTTCAACTCGCAAACATTATCATCTATTTAAGTTTTATCATTGTTGTATAACAATTTTCATTTCATTTTTTATCCTATTGTACGGTAAACATATCTTTTTGACTGAAATGTCGCCTGCACAAGTCATTCAAAATACAATACAAAACATACAATATATGTATAACACTTCTGAGTCCAGAATGTGCCAAACAAATCATAGTAAAATAATACATATGTAAACAAAAAAGTTGTGGTTTGTTCGTGTGCGCTTTACTACCAGGTTTCCTAGGCCAAAGTATGTGAATTTTCTTGGGGATTTCACAACCGGGGGCCTTCGGTGACATAGCAATTCATTTCCAAACGGGCCGTCGATAAATCACTCAGAACCACTTTTATCGACCAACCAATATAAGCCATTCGGAATCCAATGGAAATATCCCCCATCCAATGCACATAAATTTACCGAAACTGGAAAATAATTTTCCCATGAGCTTTAGTGATACTAATATTGACAGGT